CGTTACTACTACTACTACTACTACTATATAGTATAATATATAGTAGTAGTAGTAGTAGTAGTAGTAGTAGTATTAAGTATATTTGCTGTCATGTTAAACTTATATTAAAGTTTTTCTTCATTACCCATTTAAGCCGTCTCCAGCCATTATCTTCAAGAAAAGCCTGAAACTGGCGGTGATTAAGTGCATGAACAGACACGAACCAATGTGCCTCTTTGTGTATTCTTTCATCCTAAGAAATGCCAAGATAGAATACCATATTCACCTTGAAGGTTCCTTACAGCTCTAGGATGCCCATGAATTCCTATACGGTGATGGTCATAAAATCTCCACAGAGACTGAGGAGTTCAACCTCTTGCTCACCTTGAACAAGCACAGTTGATTAAGACATGTTGTTAACTGATGCAAGCATCTTGAAAGAGTTCACCAATTCATTGAATGGGCTGGTGCTGACATCTTCTGGGGCCGAGCTACCCATGATAACTGGTGAAGGCCCTGATGCCAATAGGGAGTCGGTGGACGTCTCTAGTATCAGACAGCTAATTTGAAAGACATCAATTCTGGGAGGACTGATCCTTCAGGCAGTCCAACAGCAGGGACAAGCACTGTTGCCAACACTACATATCGAGGTGCAAACAGAAGAACAGGGGCACAGCGACCTGTCCCATTATGGAATGTGGCACAAAAACAAAGATACGGTAGATGTCTTCATATCTTTGATGAAATCGTTAATTCTCAAAACCAAAAAATACCTTCCTGGCAACTAATTGCATCCCGAGAGATGTTCAATCCTAGAGAGGAGAAACTTGAGAGTAGGAAGATTCAAGTGATGAAAGCACTGATGAGCTAAATTACCCATCCAGTTTCAACAGTCGATGAGTAAATCTCAAATTCGAGAGCTGGAACCAGTAATTGACCAAGGAGATCTTATGTCACTATTATTGCTAAAGTACAAATGGTCTAAACAATTATGAGAGACACCCCAAGACAATGAGTGGACTTCCTAAATATCAAAGGTAATTATTATTAACTGACCTACACTATAGCAAATTCTAGTGCTCAAATAGCACTGTCAAGAGATTACTGCTAAATAGATGAAGGCCTATGCCCTCTACATCCAGGACGAGGACTGTCTACGGCAAAGGTCCTCTCCTCCACTGGGATGCAAGGAGGAGGTTCAGCATCTGCAGGATAGGCTAGCTAAAACCAAAAGTCCATGCAGACCTTAAGTCATCCACCATCACCAAAGAGAAGATGATAGTGACACTGGCAAGACTGCAGTGAGAGGAAGTGATGCCTCGTACAGTTTCTGGGGCTAGCTTGTATTTTGTATATATATATATGTGTGTGTGTGTGTGTGTGTATTCTTTTATGTTACTTTGTCATAACGATATCCTCATTCTTTCATGCATCTGAGTGTGTGTGAAAGGGCAGGGTTTTAAAGTTCTTCTTTGTGGTAAAGAATAAAATATTTATTTTAATACGTTTTATTTTCTCTTTATCAAAGTGCCCATTGTACTGTGCCGACATTTTCATGTGAAGGAACAGCACAGCATCAATGTAAGTCTTTGGTTAATTAATATTTTTTATGCGTGTGTGTGTTCTCATTCCTTTTCATGTTATTTTAGTTTTTTATTAGTTTCTTTTATGTTAGCCTGCCCACTCCTAAAGTGGGCAGCGAAGCTCTATGTCCTGTTGTTACTTTCCTTAATTTTTCTTAATCTTACTTTATATAACTGTAAGTGTGGACCCATAAGCTCTTAGATCTTTTTTGTAGGTGTAGTGTTATCTTTGTTGTGTGTAATTTTCTTTAAAAAATAATATAAACTTAACATACTCCTGGATCATTTCGCGGGTATAAAGATGATTGGTTTTTAATTTAATTTTAATTATTGCCCTGAGGATATATGTGATATGTGGGCATATAGAAATCGTCCAAATTGTTAATTATTTAGTTTGCACACTGTCGTGGTGGAAAAACTTTATCCAGAAAGTTGCTAAAATTACTTTAGTAGGTGATGGCCTTTCTCCTTGCAAGAATATTTCAACATTAAATAAAAAATCCCGATTGAATGGATTAGAACTTGAATATCTTTAGTGGGCCGACTATGATTTTGAGTGAAAGTGACAGCTGACCAATGCTGTTGTGAAACAGAGGTAATGAGGCGACTCCACCCTTTAGTCAAAGAAAGCATGCAAACATTCTAGATTAAAGCACACTTTTTAGTGCAGTTCTTCACTAGTCAACCTACAGGAAGTGCCTGTTTTCATTTTGGAGAATGATCTTGATTAGTTTGAAGCATTCAATACTGAAAGAAAAGAGGTGAAAAGACTAAACACCAACTAAGGGAGAAAGGACTGTCGACTCATACACAGAGGGTACACGCATTGCTTCTCTTCTTATTGTCTGAGCAAAGGTTCTGTCCGTTTGTTCAAAACGTGTCCAACTTTGTTATTTGCACACTAAAGAGAAATTTCAGTCTAATTGTCACTCTTGCAAAAGAAAACTCGTAAATATCCTGGACGAACTCTGCCGATATTGTGGGGACATTTTGTCGGTAAACTGTCCCATCTATGAATACCACACTCTTTAGCTTCCAGTTTTGTTTGTTTGTTTTGTTTTTAAGCGCAAAATTGCACATTGAGCTTTATTCGGTGTGTCCACTATGGGCAGGGTACTCAGATACTTAGGGTTATGTGTTTGCAATTAAAGTTTAAGTTTTAATGTTAACTGCCGACAAGATAAATAAACTGTTTTCATAGTTTTTAACAAATTTCGTGCTGTAGTGTTTTATTGAAAATTTTGGCAACTCCAATGAAACAATAAACATACTAGCAACAGTAAGCTATAATACAACTCTTCTGAACAAAATAATGTAGTGACTGATATTGAATTCGATTCTGTAAAATAGAATATGGGATTTATCTTTCCAACAAACAAAAAAGATGTTCAGTTACGATGACAATATATGTCTACCTGTGTGAAAATTATCAATGACAATTTCACAGTATTGGCTCAGCAAAACTAAAGCTTATTGCACTTATAAAGCCACCTGAATCGCTACATATAGAGAGTGAATCAAAATTTCATTATTTCAACGAATTTTCATCTAAGTAAATAAGAAAGTTTTTCAGACAAGTATACATATATAAAAGTAAAAATCTCTCTGTTTATTTGCTTGCTTGTTTGTCCGCGGTTTTCACTGCACAGGTCACACTTCCCTCACGTGAAGATGCGCAAAACGACAATTTTGCGTTGACATATGCGTCTATCGTCAGGTAGAGGAACCAATAATTTTATCGTTAACATATAAATTACATGAATAAATTCTACGCAGACTTGAGTTAACTTTGAATTTAGAATATAGCATTATAGACATACTTTGTTATAAATATACTTCATATATTTCACCTCACATACAAAGGAAATTTGTTCAGAATTAGAATGTCGTGTGTAAAAAAGCAAACCGTAGGCCTAGCCCATAAAATAAAATTATGCTGTCTACCATAAAATAAACTACGTGAAAAGAGTAAGGCTTGCATTATAATACTTATTGTGTAAAATGAGATTAAAGTGAAGTCAGCGAATGTATTCTTTACTACTTTTTTTTCTCCGGGGGGTTCGATTCCTTGAAATGGATTTTTTGTCCTTTTGATACATTGTAAAGTATAATATTGCATTTTGTTTGTAGTTTATTCTATATATCAATGTCATAATGTGAATACTATATCACATTCATAAAAATATATTCAATTTACATTAAAGCAAATTCAACATAATATCACATACATATTTACGTTTGAAATTTTAATATTTAAGGAAGGATGGCAGGGAATGGCGGGAATAGAGCTAGTCTTATCTTGTTCACCAGAACCGACACTCATACTGTGTATAAGATAATCTAAATATTCTCCTTAAGGGCCTTTTTATCCTTGTCAGTAAAAACATCGTTCATAAGGAAGCCCTAATTTAAAACAGGTTTGTAGTTTATTTCCAAAAATCAAACCTAAGGTTTTTTGGATTTCTTTTTTTTTCCACAAAATATTTTTGACCTATCGAAATATGCAACGGGGAAACAGAGAGAGTAGAGTTTGTTTGTTTTTTGGAAAACACGGGCAACACCGAGTAACACTGCTAGTATATATATATATATATAACTGACGATGCGCTACTTTGGGCATATAATTAAATTTGAGAGTAGATTGGCAAAGATTCTGATGAGTAATAAAATCGAATAAGGTATACGCGCACCCCACTCTTGGTATTGCTGGGTCAGAAAAATGTATCTAATAAAAAGGAAACAAACAACTGTAATAAAAAAAAATTACATTTTATAAAGACAAGTAGAGATCGATATATACATAACCCAGCTAGTTATAGTGATATAAAAAGTTTTAATGCTACAAAAGGTATTGAAACAAGAAAGTCAAAACTACAAACACTGAGTTACTTAAAATTTATTTTTTATTCCTATTACAGTGATTTGCCAAAGTAGAGATAATTTTCTAAACTTTTAAGTAACTCAATGTTTGTAGTTTTGACTTTCTAGTTTCAATACTTTTTGTAGCATTAAACTTTCTTTATTACTATAGCTAACTAGGTTACGTATAAATCGATCCCTACATTTTCACAAAATGTAAAAATTTGTATTATTAATTATCATCAACTAATATTCATTAATAGAACAGAAAATCATTAGTTGAGGGCTGTGTTGACAAGTCCGTTAGATACAAAGTTTATTGAAACTTTAGAATATTAAAACTACTGAATCCTCATTTAAAGCCGAAACGAGAGGTATATAGTTATTCTAATAATCTATGTTTCAAATAATAAAAACAGAAAAAAATATCGGTAAAAAATTGTCTCAATGGTCCACATTTCAAAAGTGTTGGTGTTTGCTAAATGTAACATTAAAATTAATGTCATAGTTTTTACTTCACATTTCAAACAAACAAAATTAATCCAGTTTTTATTATTATTATTTCTAAGGATATTTTTAATTTCTTAACACGAATTAAACTATACTACTATTCTCACCTGAAACGATCTGAGCAAAAAGCGTACGAGAATCAGAAAAGTTCTTACTCAAGCAGGCCTTATTTCAAAAGAGTTTAAATTTGTACCGCATATACACTTGAACGAGATATCTACGGCAATTTACACACTTGATGATTATTAGTATGACCTTTAACATATGAAGTCCTTGAAATAGTCTTTTTTTATTGAACTTTTAGACTTCTTTTTTTTTTTTTTTTTATACACAGCAAACGCCTACTTAACTGGATGATTTTGATAAAAAATAGTTTAATAAACTATCTAAATACAACTACGCCAGCTTTTTCTTGAAAGATAAAATAAGTTATTCATGACCCATTTGTATTGAATTTATTATGAGTTCATCACTACAGTATATTTAAGAAGAGTAAACATTACAATGAGCGTAAGATATATGATAACCATGCTATTAACTATAAACTAATTAGGTTACTCGAAACTTTTAACGATTAGATTGCATTGAATCACTATTTTAATTCTTTCAGTACTAACGAGTTTTTAATAGAAATTTTGTATTATTTCAACTAATATTCAGTCTTAACCGAATTAAGTTGAATGTCAAGTCTATAGACATCACTGTCAAAGTTTTAGATGGACTGTAATTGTTAATTATTTAGACATACTATAGTTGTCAACTATTAGGTACACTATAACTATTAAGCATCAAGTATTAGAGACACTGTAACTGTCAATTGCTTAGATACCCTATACCGTTCAAGGTGCACTATACCTATCAACTTTTTAAATACGCTATTACTGTCAAATGTTAGCTATACTATAATTGTAAAGTACGTAAAGGCATTATAACTGACAAGAGTTAGATGCACTATAGATGTTAAGTTTTAGATACAATAAATTATCCAGTCGTTAGATCGTCATTGTTATAACGCACCAACTAGGACGCCAAGTAGGATCCTCAATCAACAGTCTAGTAACGTTAAACATTGGACTGCGCCTGGCTCAATTTTTTTTGTTGTCGCGTGCTTAAGTATTTAACGGACAAGCAAAAAACCAAAATTTGACACAATTGACAAATATTAATTTCTAATGAAAACTTATTTTTACAGACATAGTAAACGTTTCAGGTAACATCTGTTTGCTAAACTTTTATTATTTTATGAAAGATGAAAAAAGTTATGCACATTTTATTTTTTAATATCCAACATTTTCTCGGTTCACATAATTTAGCAGGGTTTTGAGTTGAACAATAGAGCGGAAGTTGGAGTATTATGATAGATAAAATCAATATGATTAGTTAATTCAAAACTTCCAATTTCTAAGACTAATGAATTTGAAAATTGAAATTTGAGTAACTAGGCTTTATTTTAAAAATAAAATAAAGTTTTCTAATATTTTAAAATAAGCAACATTAAACACATGTGGCAGTAATCAATAAACAAATATTGTAAAGCTCTGCTTGGGGTTGTTTGTTTGTTATTAAGCATAAAGCTACAAAACGGTTTATCTGTGCTCTGCCCGCAGTTAATATCAAAACTCGAATTCTAGCGTTGTAAGCTGTGAGACTTACCATTGATCCACTGGGGAACATTCTGCATGGCAACACGGGTTTGATTGGGTGTCGAATAGCTGAAATAAGTTAGCTAAAGCAAACTCTCAAATATGGTAGATAGATAAATAGATGCATGACTGAGTATATCAGTAGGACTGTTGATCTGGTTGTCTATTGTTCGTGTGTCGTTGCCGCAAAGATGATTTTGCACTTTGCGTTATAATAGTGACGGTCAAATCCCACTATTCGATTAGAATAGCCCATCAGTTGACAGTAGGTGCCTTTCCTCTAGTCTGTCAAATCACAATTAGAACAGCTATGCACAGAGATCTCTTTGTGTAGTTTTGTGTAAATATCCGAAACAAAAACAAACAGTTATAACCAGAGATGGTGGAAATGACAGAGACTATGTGTGTGTTTGTGCGACTATTTCGTGCACAAATTAAAAAATCAACAATATATTTCATTTAGTGCTCTTAACGTCTATACATTCGCCATATTTTCAAACAGCTATTTACTTTCTAATATTGTTACTCCTACAATATTGTTACGTCTCCGTTTGTTAGTTAAC